GGTATTTGACTTGTTGGCAAAGAACAATATTTACCTCAACAAAGTGTAATAAACTTTATATGTCTAACCTCCTTTTCGTTGTACTTGATTCTCTATTTATAGATGTACGATCTCCTTTAAGTTGGAGTCGTACTGGTCAGCCTATAAGCCGACTCTAACGGTCTGGTGAGCTCCTACATGTGTTTTCCAAATGGTGACTGCGCACCCCGTGAGTAAGGCTGGGAGCATGGTGATAGCTCAACAAGAGCTATCCCATACATAAATAATATCTAATAAAATAATATCTTTGACAAGATACTAAGAAAAGATAATATACAATATTAGAAGATCACAAAATATTTGCATGATAAAAAAAATATGATATGCAGTAGCTTAATATGACAATGATATGGAAGGAAGATAATATCAAGATGCTTCCTTGATATTATCTCCAGTAATAAATAATTTGTGATTTATCATAGGCCAAATTAGAAAATAACACCTGCTAAAGACCCCGATTTTGTTTTTAACACCTGTTAAAAAAAAAGTTTAATTATAACACCTCCAAAAATCCCAAAATTTTGGTTTCACCACCCACTAACAGATTTTTGGATGGAAACCGTTAGTGGGGCCACCATGTACACGTGTCAGTTGTTAATTAGTTTAAAAAAAATTAAAAAAAAAAAAAAAAAAACTAACCCCCTAACTCAGCCAGCCACCGCACCGGCACCACCTGCGGCCAGCCACAAACGGTGGCCTTCTCCCCTGCCTACCCCATAACCAACCAACCACCAACCACCGACAACCAGCCATCGATTTTCGCCGCCGAACCACCTCTAACACCGGAAATCGGCTCCCCCACCCTTAACCCACCTCGAAAACCGCTATCATCCTTCACAAAGCCGCCAAAGTACGGTTCCCCTCCCCAACGCAACCCCCTTAAATGGACCTCCTCCCTTCCCGCACCGCCGAAACCGGCGCCCCCTCCCTTCCCACACCACTGAAACCGGCTCCCCTTCCTTTCCCTCAACCCAGAAACCGACCTCTTCCCTTCCCACCTTCGAAAACGGTCCCAAGCTCCCGATGACTAAGGTTTCTGGGCTAGGTTGGGGTGGGGGAAGCAAGGGAGGTGTCGGAAATTGGTGATTGGCGCCGGAAATTGGGAATCAGGGTAGGAAATAAGGAAGGGGAAGGGTAGAGGCGAATGGCCGCAGGTGGTGCCGGTGCGGTGGCTGGCTGAGTTAGGGGGTTAGTTTTTTTTTTTTTTTTTTAATTTTTTTTAAACTAATTAACAACTGACACGTGTACATGGTGGCCCCACTAACGGTTTCCATCCAAAAATCTGTTAGTGGGTGGTGAAACCAAAATTTTGGGATTTTTGGAGGTGTTATAATTAAACTTTTTTTTTAACAGGTGTTAAAAACAAAATCGGGGTGTTTAGCAGGTGTTATTTTCTAATTAAACCTTTATCATATGACATTAAAAAAAAAAAAACTATCAACGTAACCGCATGTATAGTTTTCAAAAACCTCTCGAAGTGTAGATCAATCATCAATAATTTCTTCTTCATCTTGTACTATAACTACCCTATTATAACCTCTCATCTATTTCCTTATCTTCATTTCTTCATTACAAATCGTCCATAAAGGCTAAAGGGTATTTGGTCAAATTATTTCTTTATACCACGGACCTCGATCTCTAATCTACAATCTCATTGTATAATCTATTTCTCTTTGCATTTACCTCTATTACCTTTTCAATTCATGAGTTACATTCTATACGCCACTTGGCAGACATACCCGTGCCAAACCGCGTGTCGGGCACGAATACGCGTGGTAAACGGGAGGATACGTCTCGTACACACGAAAAAATTATGTCTGTTTTTTTTTTTTGGACACTTGGACACGAACCGTGTCTTATAATGACACGATCCGTTTCATTTTTAACACGACACATCAGCCCAAAATTAAATATTAGGCTTTTTTCATTTTTATTCCCTAAAGAGTCGGCCTAGTTCTGTAACACTCCAATAATTCTCCCTTTTCCAAACCACTTACTTTAAATAAAATAGAGGAGAACTATTGGCATATTACCGTCACGTGTTAAAACGTTAAGGCTTTATCAGAATATCGTAGCGGAAAAATCCAAACTTAAACCTTTAAAATAACATAGTTTAGAAAAGAATAAGCCAAAGCTTACAAACTGGAACCATGTAAGACCCTTATTTAAAACCAAATCAATCTTAAAATCCAAATTATAAATGGAATAACAAAATATAAATAAGTTCAACACAAAGAATGAATACTCTCAATAACACCAATCCCTTGACAATGCGTTTGTCAAATCCCTGAACTTCACATCATCAAGCTAATTAACCTGTGCAATACTGCTCCTCAATAATATAAGTGTAATAATTGGATGAGTACATACAAGCTACAACGCACCAACTTAGCATGCTCAACTAATTAAAATAAATAACATTCAACATAAATTCATTAACCAAGACTCCACACCAAAATAATTCAATCAAACTCAACATACTTTCACTAATCAATTCCAATCCACTTGACTCTTTATATTTAATTTAATTAATTTAATTGGAGTAAGCAATAGACGAGGTTGTCCAACCCACCAAATCATTTTGGTCCCAAATGACCATTTAAAATAAAAATATAGCGCGATGTAAGAATGGGCGCGACTCCATTCTCACAAAGTTAGTCTAAGATCCCATCTAAATTTCATTATAAAATAAAAACGTAAATACCAAAAGAAAAGAGGACATGTTGATCAAACAAGCCTCAGAAAGCCACGGGATACCACCGTGTACCCCAACCCATAATTGTCAATACTCTAGAAGTGCACCCTTTCCAGAGTTTTATTGCTCATCCATCTTTCACTTTACGTGATTACAAGTTTAATTAATAGCCGATTCATTCAAGTAAACTATACATAATAATCATACATATAACTCACTTTTAATCTTATTTAGGACAACGATGATCACATCACAAATTGACCTTTAATTCCATTAAACTTTCAAGATATCCAAAATTATTGAACATAGTCAACCCACCTAGCCATTTCGGTTTAATCCACCTTTACTCAACATACTAACAAGTCATGCTTGAGTAATAAATAAAATAATAATAATAATAACCTCATGAAATAATTAATAAATTCATTCCACTTAAACCATTCAATTTCAATCCTTTAATAATCCAAATGTGGTTAACAAACCAATCCTATAAAAATATGCTTGTATCAACATTCCAAACAAACAATTAAACCAATATAATTCAACATGCTTGCATCCATAATTCCATACAAACATAACAATTCACCAAATCATGTCTCATAAACATAAGCACATGAATTAATTCAATGTTTAACCAAACAATTTCCATCCAAGAGTTCTCTAGACATGAAACTAAGTTCTTTCCGTTTGGTACCGAAACATGATACTACTTACAACGAAGTAAACATGTATGTACCTCGTATAAACAATCCTTTGCGCCTCTTTTAATCACCTCCTAAAATCCCACTTTTAATCAATTAAAAGTCTTCTAGGGAATAATCACCTTCTAGAAAACAACCAACAATCAAATATTGATTCCCAAACTAATTTCTATCAATATAAATTTAATTAAAACTCCTTATAAATACAATAGGAACAAAAGCCCCAATTTAATCACTCATTAGAACCTTAAAATCCCAATTTAAATAAATTAAAACCCTAGGTTTTAGAATCATAAAATCTGAAAATTAAAACTAACATTATAATCTGAAATTATAAAGTTAAACCATCAAAAACATGAATTTGATACTAAAAATATAATATTTATACTATAAAAATCAGAACTTAAAACTAAGGGTTCGTTTGGCATCGGTGTGGTTTTTTATTTTTCAAAATCATATGATATATGTCATATTATGAATCAAAAATTAGTCACACTTAATAAAATCATGATAATTTTGAAATCTGACAACAGAAAAGTGGAAACACCTTTTTCTTGTTTCCTGTTTTTTGTTTTAAAAAAAAATAGAAAACCGAAATAAAAAAACGATGCTAAACAAGCCCTAATACATTTATAATTAAACAAGTAGTAAAAACAAAAGAGGAAGAAGGGGAAGCAGCCACGGTGGCTGGTCGGATGGTGCGCCGGCGGTCAAGGGGCGGCGGCGGCACGTCTGGGCGACGAGCAGCTTTGGGCGGCAGTGAGCTTTTCTCACGTAGGAAGAAGGAAAGGGAAAGAAAGAAAAAGAAAGAAAGAAAGAAAAAGGAAAAAAAAGGAAGGAAAGAAAAATAAAAGGGAAAAGAAAATAATACTAACCTTTTTGTGTGGGGAAAATTTGGGGATTCATGGGATATTTATAAAAGAGAGAGTTGTAGGGTAAGTAGAGTAAAATAGGACCTCATGAAAATAATGAGCCAGGTAAATAAATAAAATGGTTCGGACTTTGTTTGTATGGACATAAATTGTAGAATGGACTCATAAAAATCTTTTTGTAATAAAATTGTTTATCAACCCAAAAATAATAATTTGAAACCTTTTAAAATAAATTCCTAAAAATACAAATAGATATTATAAATAAAATAAAATTTCATTTATAAAATATTTAAAAATACCGGGGATTACAATTTACAATCTATCCTTCTTAAAAGAAGTTTCATCCCAAAACTTAGCACAAAATCCCTTAAATTGCAAAACATTTGCATAAACCATTTGAAAATTTTCAATGTAATTTTCATTCCCAAGTAAAGGGTGAGTCCCATGCCTTAGTTTGTGGATCGCGGTCTCACACTGCTGGGATTCCAGTTGCGTCATAATATCGGCACTAATACCTTTTCACCATCCCAATTTACGTACTTCACTAGATACGTAAACAATAAAATAGCTATGAAAAGCATCAAAAATACCACAAAATAGCATAAAATAGGGCAAAAAGCGCGAAATTATACGCATTCTAACCCCCCTTAAGGAACAAGAGTTATGCCCTCGTAACTCACCTCATTAAATAACTCAGGGTATCTCTTGCGTGCTCATATCATCCTCGACCTCCCAAGTAGCCTCCTCATACTCTTGGTTTGACCAAAGAACTTTAACAATTTTAACATCCTTATTGCGTGTACTACGCACCTTATGATCCAAAACTTTCATAGGTCTTTCCTCATTGGTCAAAGTCTCATCCAATTGAATTGATTCAGGTTGTAGCATGTGCTTTGAATTAAGAACATACTTTTTCAATTGAGAGATATGAAACACATCATGCATTTTCTCAAATTCCATAGGGCGGTAATGCCAATTTGTAAGCAACCTTGCCTACACGCTCCAAAATTTCATAAGGACCTACATACTTGGTACTCAATTTGCCCTTCTTTCCAAATCTCATCACTCCTTTTGTAGGTGAGACCTTCAAAAAGACTTTATCACCCACATTAAACTCATCATCTTGCCTTTTCAAATCGGCATATCTTTTCTACCTATCTTGTGCAGCTTGGATTCTCGAACGAATCAACTTCACTTTATTCACCATTTCCTCAATAAACTCTGTTCCCAAAATAAGATTTTCACTATAGTCATTCCAACATACAAGACTTCTACACTTTCGACCATATAATGCTTCAAAAGGTGCCATGCCAATGCTAGCATGGTAGCTATTATTGTAAGAAAACTCAATCAAATCCAAATGATCCTCCCAAGTACCTTGAAAATCCAAGGCACACGCCCTTAACATATCTTCCATGGTTTGATTGGTCCTTTCTGTCTGTCCATCCGTTGCTGGGTGGAACGCAGTACTCATTTTCAGAGTTGTTCCAAGTTGGCTTGAACCTTTTGCCAAAATTTGGACAAGAACCTTGAATCTCGATCAGAGATGATGTCCTTAGGCATTCCATGTAGTCGAACTACATTCTTCACATAGACCTTTGCAAATTGTTTCTTTTTCCAAGTTTCCTTTATTGGAATAAATACCGTAGACTTTGTAAGTCGATCTACAATCACCCAAATTGTGTCATTGCCACTTTTGGTTCTAGGAAATCCTGTGACAAAATCCATGGATATTATCGAATCCCATTTCCAACTTGGAATATCAAAAGGTTGAACCTTTCCCATAGGCCTCTGGTGATCAATCTTGACCTTTTGACAAGTCAAGCATTTACTCACAAACTCAGCTACTTCGTTTTTCATGTTTGGCCACCAATATAACTCTTTCAAGTCCTTGTATAACTTGTCCCCTCTGGGTGTACAGAATATGGAGTATTGTGGCTTTCTTCCATGATTTTCCTCTTTAAATCCTCACACTTTTCCGGTTTGCACCATCTTTATTTATAACTCAAACTTCCATCATCATGGATCTTGAAATCTACATTCTTCCCTTGGCTCATTTTCTTCTTAATCGATTGGATTCCTTCATCACCTTTCTGACTCTCTTTTGATTCATTCAACAATGAACTCCCAAGTGAATTGAAAGAGCTCTCAACCTTGCTTCTAATTCACCATAGTTTACAACCTCCAAGTTCAACCGCTTTATATCTTCACATAACTCGTTAGGCACAATCAAAGGATTCACACCATGACTTGATTTCCTAATCAAGGCATCCGCAACAACATTTGCTTTCCCTTCATGGTACTGTATGTTTACGTCATAGTCATTGAACAACTCCAACCAACGCCTCTATCTCATATTGAGATTTTTCTGAGTGAAAATATACTTCAGACTTTTGTGATCAGTGAAAATCTTACACCTTACTCCATACAAATAATGTCTCCAAATCTTCAATGCAAACACTATAGCCGCAAGCTCAAGATCATGTAGGGTAATTAACCTCATAAGATTTGAGTTGGCGAGAAGCATAGGCTATCACCTTCCCATTTTGTTGCAACACACACCCTAATCCATTCTTCAAAGCATCACTATAGACTTCAAATCCATCGCTTCCATCAGGTAAGGCTAGAACAGGTGCGGTGGTTAAACGCTCTTTAAGAGTTTGAAAGGCTTGTTCACACTTCTCATCCCATTCAAACTTACTTTCTCTTCATCAAATAAGTTAATGGTCTAGCAATCTTTGAAAAATCCTTCACAAACCTTCTGTAATAGCAAGCTAGTCCTAAGAAACTCCTTATGTCAGACACGTTCTTAGGTGTAGGCCACTCACTCACTGCTTCAATCTTTTTTGGATCCACAGAAACACCTTGTTTAGACACATAATGTCCCAAAAATTCAACCTTCTCTAACCAAAACTCGCACTTCGAAAACTTAGCATATAACTTATTGTCTCTAAGAGTTCTCAGCACAATCCTCAAATGATCATTATGTTCTTCCTCACTTTTCGAGTATACCAAAATATCATCAATAAAAACAACCACAAACTTATCCAAATACTCATGGAACACCCGATTCATCAAATCCATAAAGATTGCAGGAGCATTGGTCAACCCAAAAGGCATAACTGTAAACTCATAGTGCCCATATCTAGTTCTGAAAGCAGTCTTAGGTATATCCTTATTAGCAACTGTCAATTGATGGTACCCCGAACGTAAATCAATCTTGGAAAACACACTTGCTCCCTTCAATTGATCAAACAAATCATCGATCTTGGGTGGTGGGTACTTATTCTTTATCGTCAAATTATTCAATTCTCAATAATCGATGCACAACCTCATGGTCCCATCCTTCTTCTTCACAAACAAAATTGGTGCTCCCTGATGCACTTGGCCTAATATATCCCTTATCCAACAATTCTTGTAATTGCACTTTCAAATCCACCATCTCAGTAGGTGCCATTTTACATGGTGCTTTAGAAATCAGTGCCGTTCCAGGAACCAAATATACTGTAAACTCCACTTCCCTCTTTGGTGGAATACATCCAAAATCCCAATTTAAATAAATTAAAACCCCAATAGGAACAAAAGCCCCAATTTAATTACTCATTAGAACCCTAAAATCCCAATTTAAATAAATTAAAATCCTAGGTATTAGAATCATAAAATCTGGAAATTAAAACTAACATTATAATCTGAAATTATAAAGTTAAACCATCAAAAACATGAATTTGATACTAAAAATAAAATATTTATACTATAAAAATCAAAACCGAAAACTAATATATATATATATATATATATATATATATATATATATATATATATATATATAATTAAACAAGTAGTAAAAACAAAAGAGGAAGAAGGGGAAGCAGCCACGGTGGCTGGCCGGGTGGTGCGCAGGTGGTCAGGGGGCAGCGGCGGTAGCTTTGGGCGGCAGTGAGCTTTGCTAACGTAGGATGGAGGAAAGGGAAAGAAAGAAAGAAAGAAAGAAAAGGAAAAAGAAGAGAAAAAGGAAGGAAAGGAAATAAAAGGGAAAAGAAAATAATACTAACCTTTTTGTGTGGGGAAAATTTGGGGATTCATGGGGTATTTATAGGAGAGAGAGTTGTAGGGTAAGTAGAGTAAAATTGTTTCTCATGAAAATAATGGGCCAATTAAATAAATAAAATGGTTTGGACTTTGTTTGTATGGACATAAATTGTAGAATGGACACATAAAAATCCTTTTGTAATAAAATCGTTTATCAACCCAAAAATAATAATTTGAAACCTTTTAAATAAATTCCTGAAAATACAAATAAATATTATAAATAAAATAAAATTTCCTTTAATAAAATATTTAAAAATATGGGGGATTACAAGTTCTTACGCCAAATCCAATCAATCATTTATTTGAAGATGATGTACGTAGCAATGTCTAATTTCAAACCGAAACCGTTTAACTGCCCGAAATCAACCGACCCAAATGATAATTGAACCGATTAAAAACCAATTTTTGGAAACCGAAAACCGACCCAAACCGTATTATAGTAAACTCGAAACCGAACCGATCCGAATAATGTTAAACTGTATAAGAACTGAACCTGTTAACGAACCAAACCAATTCTAAACCGAATCGAAAAAAACCGAACCGTTTCTAACCCGAAACCGTTTGAACCAAGATAAAAACTGTTTACACCGAACCGTTAACAAACCGCAACCCATTTGCACCGAACCTTGTACAAAACGAACCGTTTATACATCGAACAACTTATAAACCGAATCGTTTATAAACCAAACCGTTTATGAACCGAACCTCATATAAATCGAATCGTTTACAAACCGCTTACTATAAAGGAAAGATTTAAATCACGTTAAAAGGAATTTTAAATGAAATCTAATTATGCACACATGTTTACTACGTAGTACATTATTGTTTTCCCCGACTTTGTTTTACGTAACTATGGATTAAGCAAAAATAGTCTTCATCTTCTCTTTAAACGTCATCATTAAAGTGATTCATAGTTTGCTCGGAATTATATTGGACCAAAGTTGGCCTAGTCAAATTCTTATGATGTATTATTGTAATTCTTGAAATTTTTAGAATGAGATTGCATCATTTGATCTTTCAAAAACAAATTAAATGGAGAATATCATTCATCAATTTATCAATTGAAAAGAAACTCAAAAAATTCTAGCTTGAAAAAAAGATTTATTTTATTAAAGAAGACTTTTTCTCAAAATTTGAATTGAGTCACATGGAAAAAGATCAATGCACAACTGCCCGATACCAACCGACCCAAATGAGAACCGAACCGATTAAAAACCGATTTTTTGAAATCGAAACAGACTCAAACGGTATTTTAGTAAACGCGAAAACAAACCGATCCGAATAATGTTAAACCGTATTAGAACCGAACCCATCCTAAACCGAACTGAAATAAAACCGAACCGAACCGTTTCTAACCCGAAACAGTTTCCAACCCGAAACCGTTTGAACAAGGATAAAAACTATTTACACCGAACGGTAACAAACCGCAACCCATTTGCACCGAACCGTTTACAAGCCGAACCGAATTAAAACGTTCAAGAATAAACCGAAATCGAACTGAACCGAAACCGACCCTTAAGGCACTTGAAACGATTTCAAACCGAACCAAAACCGAACTGTCTAAACCGTTTTGACAGTGCTAGATGTACTTGATGATGGTGAAGAATAAAGACTATTAGTACCTATGCTTATTTTATTTGTGTTTGTAAAACTCCTGCTTAGATTCATGATTTGTAGGAGCGTTATTTGGTTTCTTGATATGTAAAATTAAGTCTTTTTATATGTGTATGCGATGATGCTCATAACACTGTGTACTTGATTTAAACAAAATGGTAAGTTCTGATGTCAATTATTCATGATTTATAGGAGTGTTATTTGGTTTCTTGATATGTAAAATTAAGTCTTTTTATTTGTGTATGCGATGATGCTCATAACACTTTGCGTACTTGATTTAAATAAAATGGTACGTTCTGATGTCAATTATTAAGTGTTTCATTGAATATACCATGTAATCCTCACAACATTTTTTTTTAATAAAATGGTTCCTAGAAAAAAGGGTTTTGTGAAGTTAGTAGAATAGGTAGTTATTGAGATTTTTTTAATTTAAAAAAAAATAATAGATTGCATAGAATTTTAGATTATAGATTAAGAGTGGTTTGGTTGAAATCTGGTAAAAAAAATAAAAAAAAATAAAAATAAAAATAAAAATAAAATAATAAAAAAAAAAGCTGTGCAATTGCCAATTATGATATACCTCCTCTGATTAGACTACATAAGCTGACAAATTAATCTATAATATTTCAACTATAATAACGTATCACTTTCTTTTAAACGGTGGTAAAATTTTGTCAACTAATTTATCCGTATACCTAATCTAATATATCCCTTAAAATACATGTTAAAATAGTGTGTTAAAAAACCAAGTAGTTTATATGCTTTGTAATTTGCCGTACACATTTCCCCTATTTTACAAATGCCAGTTTGCCGTGTCCGTCTCATACCTGTGTCCCAACCCGAACCGTTGCATCCTAGTATACAATAAAACAACCTTTCATTAAGGGAGGCACGGGCTAAATACTAGTTCCAATCCTAAAACGGATCATTCACCCCTAACCACCACCACCTCAAATCAGACATTAGACATTAACCATTTCTGAATTCAGATTACAGAACCAGTCGTCACATGTAGACACCTGCCTATGCACAGCCAAGCACTAGCAGCAATATAGTTCCACCAAGAGAGGAACCATATCCGGCACTTCAAACTTTTCTATAACAAGTCATGACTTTCGTGTAACTACTGCAAGGAACAAAACACCGGTATCGATGTATAAGAATTAACAAAGGCTGTGAAGAGACAGAGAGCAGAGAGCAGACATCATAAATTAAATGTAATTATATATATTAGTCTCCGAGTTCCATGACAATGGTCATTTCCCACTGTACAAGGCTTGTAAATAGCATTGCTAGCACATTTCTCAAAATATTACACTTGAGCCATAACATAAGACAGACCGAGTCACGGATACCAATTATGCACAATTTGATCCGACTCAGAAATCGCAAAAAATTTAGAGGACCCCAACGTGAAAAAACAGAGTAGGGGGAAAACTATTCACAACTTCAGGGCACTCGATGGCTGAGCCAAGATTTTTTTTCCAGAAAAATGAAAAATTACTTCCAGCTGTTCAGCCTTCGGTCACCTAAATCATCCGCCAACCATGGCATATCGTAGCTGCTCATGGTGGTTCTAGAGCTTTCAAGCAAAAACAGGAGTCCGGATCCAAAACACAAATACTGATACTCCAAGTCCAATATTTTTTAGAACTTTTTTTTTTGTTGACCTCTTCCTAATTTGTACACTTCACCATCATATATACGAGAAAGTTAGCACAGATTAGCCAGCCTGCAGTATAGTTATGCCAAGCCCTTCTACTTCTACAAAAGCTCATCTGATTTCTCTTCAACATCATCATTTCCATTGTTTCCTGAGAATTCCCCTGACTCTGACCCATTTGGCTGACGCATCTGGATATTAAAACTAGTTGAAGGCAAATGCTCCTGGATGATCTACAAGAAAGGTGTACCAGATAATACCTTATAATTTCATAAATATGAAATGGAAATAACAAATAACAGGAGAAACAATACAAGGGTTCTAGGAAAGGAGTAAATGCCCCTCAGCACAAGATACTCCAACTCTCCAAGTTAAGGAAACTTTAAAGGCAAAATAGAAAATTCAGCTCAGACGGAAGCAAGGAACATACCTGCTCACCAGCCTCGTCACCCTCTGAATGGAATAAAATTGGTCGACAACGCTTATCTTCATTCATCAAGCTAGAATTCTGAAAGTGGGCAATAAGGGCTGTCCTTCCCTGAATGCGAGCATATGCCAAGGACGCAACTTTCTCACTATTGAACTTTTCCCACTTCTTCCCATTAAATGCCTAAATCACACGAAACAAAAATCGGAAGATTCAATACAAATAAAATCATAATACTTCTTTCACATATGATCTGACAGACAGAAATAAAGAAATCGAAAGAGAAACAAGCAACTTGTGAGAAACAATGAGGATGGATGAATTTTGCTAGTGATGAGGATTGATGCAACTAGCAAGTCTCAATAACATATTTGGGTTAAATAGAAGCAGATTCAAAGTCCTGATCATAAACAATTTCCTCAAGAAACACATCAGCAATATGACTAAATGCCAGAACTTATTCTAAAGCCCTGCTTAAGATCATCTAGCATACACCAGCAGGATACTGAGGAGGCATTAAAATCAAAAATAAAAATTAGTACCTTATAGAACGGGATGATATGTAATGGAGACAACATGTTGATAAATGCGTAACCTACATTGCACTTGTTCTGCACATACAAAATCAACCCCAAAGAACAGTCAGCTACAGAAAGATTATCAAAGTTTGCATGGAAATTGAATTTTAAGTATAATTGTTCACTTCCAGTCAACTACAAAAGTACCTTAAAATCTATGGGCAAATAAATGAAATCGTAAGTGCCTTTGTGATTTTCATCAATAGCAGCTAGTAGCATCTTTGAGGTATACCTAGATGCAAGACAAAGAAACTATTCACTCAAAAGAATAGGAAAAAGAAACTCTATATAGCTTCTAATAAAGTGAAGAAACACCATACTTGTTAGGGATATTTTTTATCATAAGGGTTGTCCTGCCATCTTCGCCATTAGCAATCTTTTCCAAATCTAATTGAAATTGCTTTTTGCAATCAACCTGATTTGTGTTACTCTCAACCCGTCGAGTACGGGTGCGCTCAGATTCAATTCCAACTGCTTGCCCTGTGTAAGGACCATTACCAAGGAATACAGGACTAAGCCTTGGTGAAGACATCATTCTAAAACTAGGGGAATTACTTTCAGACATGTTTCCTGCAATACCAGCATGCATAGCAGATCGAGGACCGACACTCATCATGTAATTACCATTGCTAGGAACTCGATTAATGCCCCCAAAACCACCAGGGTTCACATATGATGTCTCAGGTGATTCAGGAAAAAAGCCAAAGTGCCTTTCAAGATGATGAATACCAGAAGGAGCAGAGCCAACATGCTGCTGGTTATGCTGGACTGAACTGAGATACGGGCCATGTCGACTAGAATATGGATACCCATGCCGATGTCCATTAGATAATAGGGGATTTCCTGAGTGAGCGGACCAGGCAGTTGACTTAGCATTCTCTGAAAAAGTGGTGGGACTTCCCCAAAGAAACTGGGGCCCAGACAGTGTTTCAATAGCAGATCCATTTGAAGTTGATGCACCAAATGATGACATGGAGCCAGATAATTGGCTACCCAGCTTCAGCTCTGGAAATGAATGGGGAGTGTGTAAATTGGCTCTCTGCTCAGAACTATTGGCAAACATTTGCTCAACATGGCTTCCCCTACCAAAGTCCTTGCCAATTGGTGCGAGCTTTGGAGAACCAGAAGCTTGAGAATGCAGAATTGATGCCAATCCAGGAAGATGGTTATTGGTAGTAGGGCTCATTGTCCTATAACCAGGGGATCTGCTAAAAGCGTGAACAGCATTATGGTTAACAGGACTGCTTAGCTGCTGCAACCAGCTTCCTGCCATGTAAATGGGACAATATTAGCTCCATGACACATACGGTAAATAAAATATTTATATGCAACCTATTACCATATCAGAAGACACCAATATCATAACATTACCAGGCGGGGAGTTAGTTATCGGGGAGCCAACATGATGCCGAAATCGAGACTCCTCATGGTCAAGCTCTTGATTCAATTGCAACATCAAGCTGCTAATACATATACAGTCAGCTTTATTCAAGAACAAAATGTTAAAACAGTAGGAGCTTCATCACACGATGAAGCCTCCTCTTCCAGTGCAACAACCTCATGAAATTATATAAATGCAGGTTAATACGTAACAGGGTCACCATAACACAAAGAGACCAAAAGTATAAGTTATAATATCCCTTTTGACAACAGTCCAATACAAAGAATCTTTGCACACTTTTCACGTGTCAATATGATATCTCAACCAGTTTAGGACACAAGAATCTTAGTAAACTAATCAAGATCAGTATGTAAAGGAAATTGAGACAAATATTATACTTCCTCAGTTTTTTTAAGTTGCATCACTTTGCAAATTGCGGACTCCTAGGCAATTTTTGGAGATGAGAGAGATAGAGAGAATAAAAAAAATAAAAAAAAATAAAAAAAAAAAAAGGATCTGTGATAGCCCTGATAGGAGAGAGATAGAGAGAGTTTATTAACTAAAAAGGAAAGTGATGCAACTAATTTGAAACTTCCGTTTTAGGAAAGTGATGCAACTAAAAAAACAGATGAAGTACATCCAACAACCTAGAACAAATCCATCCATTGCATTTGTTGAAAATTAAAAGTGGATTAAAAAAAGCACAACCATTTATACTTGTACTCTAGTAAAAGGGAAGAAAACACACACATATACCCTAGTGGCTATAACCAGACTCCCTTTAACTGTATCATAAGGTATTGAGGAAGAGCATCAAATGCAGATAGCCATTCACTGCCATATAGCAAAGCAATTAACACCCAAAGATGGAATGGCAACAGGTAAGGAGCATATGCATCAGGAGAAGGAAGCCTTAGTTCTAAATACAAATAGCAGAAGGAAAATTTTGCCAAAAGCTATATATCAAGGCATTCACAGAATGATGGGATGATGCAAGACAATTATGATCATTATTGCATGGTAACATCACTCATTTTACATGAACAATATGCAGGGTACAATTAATAAACGAAAATCAATATATTGTGTAAACAAGTATAGAAAAAAATAGATAAATTTCACAAATTCATATATATATATAGGGAAAATTGTAATGTAAAAGCTGTTAAAAAAAATTGGCATATAAACTGGATATGAAGTCAGTCTTAAAAGGGTAAAAGAGTGGAAAACTACGCACTTCCGACGTGTCCCACCAGGACGACTGGGTTCAAGCTTTATGCGTTTGCCAGCTATGTCACTTCTATTCAATGCCCTGAGTGCTGCTTCTGCAGCTCTGACATCATAAAACTCAATGAATTTATGGTGCTTCTTATGTGGTGTCTCCCTTATCTGTTACAAGGTAAACAAGTAAGATTAATGTCAGCTACCAAAACATGAAAACTAATAAACTCAAAGCATACTTAAAAGGGAAACTCCATCACCTCTTTGACCTCTCCATAAGCCCCAAATATTAGACGTAGTTCCTCGTTTGAAACTGATGGATCCAGATTAAAGACTACTAATGTCCCCTGATTAATATCCTTCTCAGATGGATTATCCTGAAATGTTCAACAAAAACGTAACTTGAGATTGTGAAAGGTGTTACCAAAACCAAAAACAAGAAAAGTATTTAAGAATAAAAAATTTCTGGAACCTTGGGAATTGAAAAGTGTATGTCAAGTTTTCTCCGACGCAATGGCTTATTTTGTAAGGCTCGCATGGCTGATCGTGCATCACGAATGTCATAATATGATATCATCACAAAACCTCTATGTTTGCATGCTGTGTACAGTGTCCGGATATCACCATATTGCTTTTGAACAACATAGCAAAAAAAATCCAAACCTCAGCATTAATATAGTTTTAAAAATACACATAAGAAAAATATACTGTTGTCAGAAGATCAAAATTATTACAAAAAGAAAATCAGCCAACTTTCATCAAAATTCAATCACAAGTTCTTCAGAGTTTCATGTAATTTACAGGCAAAAACAAACATTAAAAGCAATGATTGATGAAACACAGCATCCCGGCCGAAACTTATAGACAAAGCACATACAAATTAACAAAAGGCAAATAAGATTTCAACAATAGTTGCATGTCCATTGCTTAAATTTTTGGACCTTTTGTTTCATTGATTTGCAACATGTCACCAAAAAAAAAATCCATATAAATAAAAAATAAGGGGCCAGATAGCAGGAGTATTTTAGCAAGAGTTATACACAAAGGAAAATAATAAACAAGTCAACCAATAGAAAAACAGTAGGAATAATTAGATGGGTGCTGATAAAATCCATGTTCAACAAAAGTCACGCAACTTAGTAATACTTGGAGATTGGTAGATTACACTAACTTCGTAGAACAGATTAGGACATCAATAATGATGCAAAAGTACTGTACTTAATCGCACCCAACTCTAAATTACCTCAAAAAGATTTCTCAATTCAGAATCCTCAACGTTGCTATTAATATTACGAACAAACAAAGTTCGAGATGGATGCTCCCCATAGGGATGTTCTCCAGCAATTGCCCCAGCATTTGGAGGGCCATATTGAATCATTCCATTACCAGTTATGCCATCAGAGAGGCTAAACTTGGACATATCTAAGCTTAAGGTATCCTGCACATCATTTTCCAACTCCATTCCTCCCAAGTTACCAAAAAAATCACCCTCCTCCATATCATCCACCTGGCTCGCCAGTCCAGTAAAATCATAATCATTCGCAAGATCAGCAAAGAGAGCATCTTCACCGGGTAGCACAAAATCAATTGTATGGTTAACAATATCATCATCAAGTGAATCAACTCCTTCAACGTCTTGCTCCACTTTATCCAAGTTTGCTGCACCATCATCAACAACTTGCCGACCATTCGCAGAATCATTTATGCTTACTGCATATAAGCAAAACAGTAAGGTCAGAACTCCATAGAGTATATTAAGTGGCAAAGTGATTGTCTTTAAAACTTACACTTCTCATGAGGAAGAACAGGTAATGAGCTGGAAAATAAAGAAGCGTCACTTGAGGTATGATACATAGGGCTGCGCCGCATATTCCACGGACCAGTTCCCATTTCTTTGGGTTTACCCGTTAAAGGAATATTCCAAGAGCCTAGCATAAAGATATATACATTGCAACTGTTGATCAAACGACAATCTTTAAAATGTTTCAGCAAAGAAAAATGTTCACAAAATTTACCTAAAACAGAATCTTCAGCACGCTGACCCATCTAATTACTCTCTGCCAAATTTAGAACGCTACGTCAGAATAGAAGCATCAGAAGGCTACAAATAACTCAAATATTTTGAAGGGCTTATCAAGTTAGGATATCATAACATACATACAAAAGATATGTATCAGAACTCAAATTCTTAGAATTCTCACAAACTGACAATGCTCCTGGACACAAGTGGATGAGGGAGGGGGTGGTGGAGAATACCCAATATCTACAAAGTTTGAAGCTTCAGATCAATCTGGCATCAACATGCATTTAAAATGAACTTCGGCAAAGATAAGAAAAGGCAAGTATCATCCAATTCATCCAATAGCAAAAAGTATATGATATCAATTCCTACACCAAGCATTTAAGGGTAAACTTCGGTACAGATAAGAAAAGGCATACATCATCCAATTTATCCAATAGAAAAAAGTATATGATCTGCACTTTGCAGCCAATACTAAAAACAATCAACTTAATTGATAACCACAAATTCTAGGCACACAAACACCGAGATCATACGAGTCAACGAGACATCGATAAAATTACTAAACAACCTTCGAGTTCCAACGAAGTCAACAATCAATCAATCACCAGATAAATTGCCAGCACAAAACTTAAATGATTTCTCAATTGTGATTGAATACATTACAACCCCAGATAATAAAATCAGCAAAACTAAAACTTGAAGCAAGATACAACATGTGAAGTATCAATTGAGCAAGAAAACCATTAATTTGTAAAGTCAAACAAGTTAACTTAACTCAAAATCTCCCAGCAAAACAAGTCTTTCAGTTATAAGAAAGGACAGGTGGCTACAATTCTCAACTAACTTCATACTTCCAAATTTTTTTTACTCCATACAATCTTCAAAACCCTTGATCAATTTTCAAATAATATTTAATTATTTATCACAATCACTCCAGGATCATCATCATACCTTTTAGGACCAAAAAAAATAAAAACTAACTAATTATGTACAAAAATTATAAGAATAAATAAATTATGCACAAAAATTAACACCAAAAAAGCAGAAATATCACTATACCTAAAAAAAAAATAGAATTTAAAAAAAATCCGTCCCAATTAAACTCAAGTAAAACCCAGAAATTGGGAAAAAAAAATAATACCCAGAATTCAAAACTGCAAATTCACATTACAGATGAAAATTTCAGAAATACCCACAATTTTTTTCAAAAAATAAAATTAAATAGAAAATTACCCTGAAACGGGTCAACGGAGTCGGAGCTTGTGAACTCAGTATGAAACCACGGAAACGGAAACGGCGACGACAACGGAGACGACAAAAGGAAGATAGTTGCAAAAGCAATTACATGCATCTATATATTTATATAAGAAATTAATTCATCATCAAAAAAAAAAAAAAACTGATCTTTCAAAAAAAGGGAGAAGAAAAAGAGACGTGAAGAAAGAGAATTTGATGGGAATTATATAAAATAATGAGGAAATTAAAGGGTGAAATTGGGGATTACTCTAAGAATAAATTAAAATTAAAGATTGATTGCTTGTTAGAGTAGAATTGTTGGTGTTATTGAAGAGTTGAAAAAAATTTCAAAGTGTTGTGATGTATGATTGGAGGAAGACACAGAGAGAGCGAGAAAGGGGAGTTTAAGAGTGAGAAATGATTGATGAGAGGAGAGAGAAAGGAAGAAGAAATAGTGTTTGTGTGAATGTATGTGTTGTGTGGTGGGGTTATTAACTCTATTGAATTTTGGGTTTGGAGTCCGTTTTGGACCATATTGGACACTTATTTAATACCAATACTCTACTACTTCCCTTAAATTCTTTTTTTTAAAAAATAAAAATTTGACAAATTAATTTTTTTTTGAATAATGTTGACAAATTAATTAAGTTTAGATAAGTTTAATAAGTTTGGATAAGGATAATCTAAATCCAAGTTTAGTTCACATATACCATGTGAGTTTGTTTATTTTAAGGTAAAAAGAGGATTTGTTAACTAAGTTAGAATCTCGCATATTCACATTAAAGGCAAGGGGAAAAATAAGGGATTTTCGCCTTAAAGTGACTATTAGTCTCCAAAGTGAATGAACAAGATAATTTTTTGCATTATTCACAAGCGATATGCTTCAATTTGACCATAATTTTTACTAATGTTAAAAAAAAAAAATGAGTATACTACGTTTAAGATGCTTTAAATATATCTTAATGAATAAGAGCAACAAATAGTGTATAAGCTTTTTATAATGCTTATTACAAAATAGTAGATTATTAGAGATATTAAAAGTATCTCCAATGTTATAAAAAGGGACTTGCTTGCAAATTTATTAAAATTGCAAGTATGTAGCTTACTATTAGATTGTGAAAATGAGTGTAGCTAGGTTTAGCAACTTTGCTCAAACAAGCTATGAAGTATGTTGCTTGATTTTTCAAAGATAACATCACCAACTTAAATTATGACATGTTTAAAATGATAACTACTTTTTTTTATCCTTTTATGCTACAATATGCTACAAGCCTACAACTAATTATTGAAACACATTATAGCTACAAAATATTCAAGCTTAAATATCTAATGTGGCAAGGTAATCTACAAGGTGTTGTACCTTACCACCGGAAATACTCTAATAGTCAAACTTGTGTGCTTGCAAGTGCGTCTGTCAAGCTGATGGATTTATTTTGAAGTTGAGAAAGTACCTTCGTTTTTTTTTTTTAGGGAAAATTGAGGAAGTACTTCATACTACATTTGTACTTTAATGTTATTGACAATCACTATTTCATTGATTCTTTAATAAACCGGGTACACCTAGAGGTAAATTCACGATTTTTTGTTCATTTTAATTTATTTTTTTCTCATTTAAAACTTCTAAAATGAGCAAAATGTATCAAATAAGAAAGAATAAATAAATAAATAAATAAATAAATAAATAAATAAATAAACATTGGATGTTGTAGACGCCTAAAAATGTCTCCCCAAAACCAAACCCAATGATGAACAACCTTTCACCGCCATTATTGATCGGGTCGATTATTTAATCTCGAGAGTGCTTAATACCCATATTCAGTCAAACATATTCAGTCCACAAATCAGTCCAAGCATTTATTCAAACTCAGTCCAACCTTCATTTCAGCCTAAACCCTTTTTAATCCATTTCGTTTTATTTATTAATTAAGCCCGACGAATAAATATTAAACCCTAATTAGGTCCGAAACTCTGAAACGACGCCTAAATATCACGTACTTAATGCTTAAGAAAAAGGTTAAAATGAATTTGGACGGATTTCTGGAAAACAGATTTGTCGTGTCACGACAGAAATGCCACACCACGGCGATTTCTGCCGTGTCACGGCACATTGCACCGTGTCACGGCAATTTTCTAGGATTTCTACGCGGCGCATTTCATTTTCTAGGGTTTCGTGCATCACCCTGCTCATTTCCTTTATAAATACGAGGTTGATTTCTCAGTTTCGGGGCACCAAATAATTCTCTCTTCCTCTCTTATACACCAAAAAATTCTCTCTTTCTCTCTTATGCTTTAGCCTAAACACTAGCCTTCCCTATTCTTTAACCATACATCCATACAACACCCGAAGTTCCATAGTTAAACCAAGGCGTGAAAGGTAGAACCGATTGAGGGTTTCGACCAAATCAACTCTATTTTCCTTTAATCTTATTTGAATTTTATTTATTATTCTTTGAAGTTACTAACGTTTTAATTCATGATGTAGCACTTTAAAGAAGCGTGGAACGTGAGTAATTAATTCACTTAATTACTCTTATTATTATTATTCTTATTGCTAGTATCATGATCAGGGTTATTATTATGATTTGATTTGACTAACGTTATTATGGCCGAATTGCTTCAAATGTTATTGTTATTCTATTGTTTATTGTTGATCACCATATTGCATGTCTAAAGGAAATATGTAATTGAATATAACGCCTAATAAGATAATTTGGACGACCAGTTTAGGTTCCTTTTTAATCTTGTTGTTTAACAAGTGATCACGATATTTTAGAACTATATGTTGCATTAACATTCAACCAATTAAGCCTAATAATAGTTTGGAGCAAATTGAATCTTTGTTTGCATGTCTTTGAGATTGCAGAAATACTTTTCACAATAAAAATCGACTAGAGGCCAATACAGGCGATTGTGACTCCATGACTCACTTCATACCATCATCCTCGATCCTCCTTTTGTGGTTCCGAATCATATGGAGTTAGTAATCTCATGGATTATGAATGGGGTGTAACCTTCACGGGTCAATCGTTGTTGCCTATCATTGTCCCTAAATCGTGGTTGCCTTAAATAATCCGTGAACGGTTTACAAGTTCCTTAAATAACTTGTTGGCGGCTCCCTACTTTGCTTTGTCCCTAATTGTATATGTTAATTCCTACTTCCTATGAGTTCAAACGTATTCAAAACATGGTTAGGTAGGCGCGCTTCGAACAATGTCTACAGGTGTCATAACTCTAGGCACCCCCGAGTCTATCTAAAAATTTTCATCACTATTTGAGTGTAAGAATTAAGAAAAATGATGAAGACGTAGTGAAAAATTGAAATTGCAAGTAATAAAACTGTAAAAGCAAGATTCTGGGAAAAAAGCTTGTCATTTTATGGGGTAAGGGGGTAAGAATATAAGGCCTTTTTCCCTTCACCTTATTAATACTAAACTTAAATTATTTTACTAAACTGAAACTAATTTTACTGAATTGAAAATATTTTTACTGATTTTTAATTATATTTCTTCGTTGAAGTTATTGTCTCTTACTGAACTGAACTTATTTTTACTGGATGAAATTAATTTTACTGAACTGAACTTATCATACGGAACTGAAATTATATTTATTAAACAGAAATTATTTTTACTAAATATTACTCCCTCCGTTCCTTTTTTCATTGGTTACGTTTTAATTTTTGAGTCTGTTCATGAGCTAAGAGAATCTTCTAATTCAATCCCAATATATAAGACATATTATAGTCATGTGGGGTCTTGTTTGATTCGTCTCAACAAGTACTTTATTAATAGTCAATCTTTTAATTTTTTCAAGTATCCCTACCTTATTAAAAGCTTAACCAAACTCTTATGAATAGTGTTGTGCCAATTATATCCCTTAAAATGTCTAATTATATATATACCCCTATTTATGAATGCAATTCACATGTGACAATTTTTTTTCCTTTTGTTTTTACCATCTTAGCTTTTTGGCTAGTTTTTAAATTTTTTTGGTTTATTCTTCCCTACCTTTTAGGAAGTTTGAGATAACTCTTATAAATAGTGCTTGGACAATTATACCCTTAAAAACTAAAGTTATGACATAAAACCAAATTGAAAGAGATTCTTAAGCATGGCTAGCTATGTGCGCGCTACGCGTGGGTTAGCTACCCTAGTGGAATGAAAGATATTAATGGCCAAACTAGTGCATTGGAAAACGCGGAAAGTCAAAACGTAACTAATAAATAGGAACAAGGGAAGTATTTTATAAGGTGAAGTGAACAGGACCTAAAAACTATCATATCATATAACTAATATATAAAGCTAAACTTTTAGCCAGACACGAGAAGCGACGTTTGGCATTCCAACTTTTCGCCAAGTGTCGCGCCACGTTGGATAAATTTAGATAGAGTTCGTAGGATAAAAAAGTTAGTTTGGAATTCTATTTTCAATCAAATTTGTATAGAATTTTAGGATAAAATTGTTAGTTTAGAGTTTTATTTTCGATAAAATACCAATATTTCATATGTCCAAATTGATTTACAATTTTATTTAAAAAATATTAGATTATAACTCTCAATAATTATCATATTAATTTTTTTTTTATATAATAATAATATTTTTTGGAGCGAAGGAAGTAATTCAAAACGTACAACATCCATGTATAATACATTCTAATTGATTAAAATAATATACTTCACAATCTAATATGATTTTAAAATTGTATGTAGACCTGTCAATATGGTTGGTTCACGAGTCATTTTGGATCAGGTCACTTCAGGTTACGGGTCAAGAAATTTTCAACCCTAGCCGTTCGGGTCAACCCAATGAGATTAGAACAATTTTTTTATGTAATTTTTTTTTTTTTTTTTTGCTATTTTTCGAAATTTTTAATATTTCATGCTTACTTAGCTTTTTTTTATGCATTTAATCGAACATTTTCACCAATATTATTATTAATCATTACATGTCTACTACATAATTTAATCGTCACAAAAGCAATTCATCAAACCCTAACTAATTTTGTATCAGTAATGTATTTTAAAATTTGACATGTAGATTAAAAATTCATCTTAAAATTCAATAAACAACCCAGGCATCGCACGGGGTACAAAACTAGTTTTGTTATAAATGGAAAAAATTAGAAGTGTTAAAAAAAAAAGGAATGAAGATATACGAAAAAAATTACAAAACTAATTTTTTTACATTTCCTTTTTTAATATTAGAAAGTGTATAGAACAAACCCAAATGTGTTAGTATTATGTAGATTGAATTAGGCCCTGTTCACTTCACCTTATTTTTCTTGAACTGAAATTATTTTTACTAAACCGAAATTATTTTGCTGAACTTAAATTATTTTTACTAAACTGAAATTAATTTTACTGAATTGAAATTATTTTTCTGAACTGAAGTTATTTTTTACTGATTCTCTGTTACTAATTTTTATTGAACTGAACTTATTTTTACTAAACTAAAACTATTTTTGTTGAATTGAAATTATTTTTAATT